AGAGAGAGAGAGAGAGAGAGAGAGAGAGAGAGAGAGAGAGAGAGAGAGAGGTAAAAGTAATAAAAATTAACACAACTGGAAAAGATACTACCATCTTCCATCTTCAATGTTTAAACAGAAAAGTAGAAATTAGGAAATTATTTAAGATAAAACAATAGATTTTTTAAAAATATACAGACAAGATGTTCTCAAGAGTTGCATAAACTTGTTTTTAGTCTATTATGTGTCAACAGAATCCAAAAATTGTCTACAAGACCATGAAGAGAAACTTCCTGAGGTTAAAAATAAAAGATTAAAATGGATGATAAAATGCCTTACATCTGATGTTTTATACTGACTTCTTCATACTATTTAGAAACTGAACACTTCTTTCATCTGAGAGTGTCAAATGCCTTGCTTGGCATCTCTTCCTCAGAAACATATTGTTCTTCAGCTTTTTCCTCAGTACAGGGCTGTCATTATCTCCCAGCTTAGTCATCCAGTTCAAGATTGTCCATATAAATGAATGTTTAACCTGTACAGCACTACAGAAAACAGAGTGTCTCTGTCTAATGGGTGAATCACAACATAATAGAACCCTTCCCTCCAAAGAGCTCAACACCTTAACGTACTTTCAAACGGCTTAGTAAGCTTTGAATGGCTCAATCAAAAGCCCTTTGACGAAGTCCTTCCGTAGGCTGTTCTATTCCAGAGGGCCATCACCTTGGTAGCAGATCCACGTCTCCTGTGAAGCTTTGTAAGACACACATTGAGTCAGGGCATCTGAAGATGCAGCCTGTCCTTCTCTGTCTAAGAGCTCTACAACTGATTCTCTGGCATAGACCTGCCTGAGAATTCTGAAACGGGCCATGTATATGCAGCATGGTGGGCTTTCCTTGGAAGGAATTGGTGAGGATATTACCTCAAAAAACTTGTCAAAAGTGCTCCCTGATAAGGAGAAACTGCCTGCTAAACAGAGTTTCACTAATGTGACTGCTCCCTGAAGTTGCTGTGGCTACACAACCAGTGCACCCCCAGGCTATACCACTTCAGCAGTAGTGACAAATTCCAAGCATATTTCCAACGCAAACTGACCTGACCTTTGAATCTAAATCTCTCTAACTCCCTCCTAAAGTTTAACTGTAAATGTTCCCTTCGGTTCAACTTTCCGTTTGCCCTGTATTATTAGTCAGCAGGTGTGGTTTAAACATTTATAGGTAGAAAAGTTCAAATGTGATTCAAGTTTTGTTGTAATCAAGTGCTAACTGACTTGTTTCTGCTACTAAGTCTCTGATTCCTCTTGACCTCAGAGAATAACCATT